TCTTTCTCATCTCTCTCATCTCTCTCTCCTCTCTCTCTCTCTCCTCTTTGTCTCTCGTCTTTCCGTCTCTCTTCTCTCTCTTCTCTCGCAGGAGGATCCGGGCAAAGAGCCACATATAAAGGACTCTTCACCGCCGTGTTTTTTCCTACCTCGCTGCCCTCCACTTTCCCATTCTGGAGCGCTAGCTTTCGCCCCCCCCCTTGGCCTCAAGTATTATATTTATCCAGTTTACGTTGGTGTGGCTGACCCAGAACCAAACTACAAAGATACCACAACCATTCCCGACCTTTGTGGCACGACAGAACTCGTCAACAAGCCCGGCGAACGCATCGCAGCCGTTTTCTGACTAAGCATGAGTGTTGGGAAGAAGAATGACGACAAGATCCGGGATTCCTTGAGAAAAGCCCTTGTCTAAGTGCGACTCGTCCGCTCTTATGAACGTTTGTTGCTGCCAGACATTCCGTGATTTTTTGTTGGATTCGCGCAGGGTTCGCGTTCCATTCTGTGACACGTGGTGCAGCATGATCAAAACCATCCCAAAACCATCCCATGCAGAGTGAGGTCATGTTCTTTCTGCTTTTCTGGTCTTTCTGGCCCTGCAGATCCGCTGATCTTTGGGGTGCCTTGCAGCATGTGACCGGCTTGTCAGACGCGGAGCTGAGCTTATTGGCTGAGGAGTTGATGGAGTTGCGTGCTCCGTCGCAACGAATGCTTTGGCAAAGAAAGGTGGGTCCTTGCGAAAGGGGCCGATGCGCCTCCGAAGCGACCTTGCGGCTTATAGCAGCCTTGGGCGAGGCAAAGCTCTTGCCATCAAGACTCTTTGAACTCTTTCCGGGGGATCCACTCTACAACTATTGGAAGGAGTCGGATAAGACGCCTTTTCATTCCTGGATGGATGCAGAGGAGGCAGAAGAGTCGATTGAAGCACTGATTCCTGAAGGTCAGCCGTTGGCCTCTGGCCGGATCCAAGCATCAAGCTTCACGTGGAAAGCCAAGGCTTTAATTCGACAGATGCTGGGACCTGCGGTCAATGCCCCGCATGCCTTGGGGCGGTGTTTGGAATGGGATACACCTCACTACATCATCAAAGCCTTTCAGAAACTGTGTTTGCGTTATGATGTCTTGCAATATGCAGATGGGCGAGCTGTGAAAGAAGAGATGCGCGTTTATTTGCGGGGAACTAGGCCAGGAATGGGTGTTGAGTTTTGAATTGAAAGCTGCCAACGGCTGCCAACGGCTAGTAGCAAGCAAACTCGGTCAAAGATGGGTCCTCCGGAAGCTGACTGGGCCTCCAACAGGCCAAGTAGCCTACCCGGCCTACTTCCGTTTTCAGGGCTTCCGTTTACGTCGCGCGGACGGACGCAGGGTCTTGGCACTTGATGTACTTCACCCACCGACTTGGATGCCGAATGACTATGGATTGGTCCAGGCCTCGGAAAATCACGCATCACCCATGGCCTCCAGCCATGGCCTCCAACCTGCCAACCGAGAAGCGATGCGCAAAAGCAGCAAGTGGCTGAGGTGGTTTGCTTTTTCGTCTTGGAGCATGTTCCGGAGCGGCCTCAGCAAAGCGGATTAAAGGGCTCAAGAAAACCTCGGGAACGGATGCTTGCCGCCAATGCGCGCATGTTCTCTCTCGGGGGTCGCTGTTTTGAGTGTGGAATTTCGGATCAATTTGGGCTCTTATTCCTTCCAGATTTGTACATGTCGATCTTTCCTTTTTTCCTGGAGAGAAGAACACATAGAACAACAGAACGGTCTAGTGGAAAAATGTGCTGATCAGCCTTCAAGAAGCTATTAGAAACAAGTGCATCGCTACTAGTAACAGGTGCCTTACTAGTAGTAACAAGAAGCTAGTAGTAACAAGTGCCACGCTTCTAGTAACAAGTGCCTTACTAGTAGTAACAAGAAACTATTAAAATTACTTTAAATTAATTCTAATAGCTTCTTTGTTACTACTAGTAAGGCACCTGTTACTACTAGCGTGGCAATTGTTACTAGTAGTAACAAGCAGCTATCACTACTAAAACCTGAACCCCGGAGCCGGAGCCAGCCTTCGTGCCTTCAGAGCTTTGCTGTTTGCCAGGAGCCACACCGGGCCATGAGAGGCATCACCCGTTTGTTGATACCAGGCTGGGCTTAGGGCGAAACACGCAGGCGGTTTGTTGCTTGAGCCGCTCTTGGTCCAAAAAGCCTCAATATTTGCATCTAGGTGTTGCTGCTTGTTTTTGTTCGAGCCGGAAGGAGGGTTCCTTTTGCTCGGAGCTCCTTTCATCGATGGCCGGAGCCCAATGAATATCACATGTGAGTAGTATATTGGAATATATTGGAATCGGACTAGTTTTCAAAGATGGGTCTTGAAGTCTATTATTTGCACATCTTTGCATATTGGAAAAAAAGAGGAGACATTACCCAAGTCTTGCTAGTAGGTTGGAGACCATCGCCTGTGTTTTTTTCTCCTTGGTAACGTCTCTTTGGTCGACTATCAGATGGTTGGCTGTTCAGGTGTTCACGGTTGCCCAGACGACTTTTTCCGCTACACGCCCGGACCTTGATGTGTCGATCAGATCAGTGACGAGCGGAAGACGAGACGAGCTGAGACAAGGTCGATGGGTTTCGCCGGAAATCTGAGGCCACATGGTTTGAGGAACGTCGCGGAGGCTGCGGGCTTGGAGGCTCGTCGGCATCGCCCCTCACGAGCAAAAGAACGAACGACCACGACCACGACGACCCAACACTCCAACTGTCCAGTCCGCTTTTCGCAGAATCTATGAATTTGTCACCACAAGTCGCAAAGATTCATTTAATTGATTTGGCAGCTCTTACGTATACAGTATATAGTTTCTTCTAGGACTTTACTTTTGATGGGCCCTTGAACATCATTTGCCGCAAGCTTCTGCTTTGTTCTTTGAAAGTAGGTGTTGATGGAGTTTGCTCCTGGTGATGCAGCAGCAGCCGCTGGGGACCGGAAAGCATCGAGTGTAGCACCGGTGGAGCGAAGCGAAGCGTGTCGAAGCTGCAGGATTTGATTGGCATGAAGTCATCCTACTGGCGAACGGAGGCGAAGCAATGGTCAATGCTGTGAACATGTATACTTTGTTCTGGGTTTTGTGAGCATGAATGATCCAGTATCCAACATTCTTGATGTGCGAAGCCAGATGGAGCATTGAATCTGTCTTGGAGGTCACTACGATTACTATCGATTACTCATAACTGGCATTTTCGACAGCGTTGACCAACGTACAGCGTTTTCAAGACTGAGAGGATTTGCTGCAAGACTCGGACACTCATCCTCTGAACGTGCAACTTGGCGTGCTTGGCGTCTTTTTGGGCTTGGCTTTTTCGAGGTAGAGACGGTAGAGCGGAGTGCTTCTTCTATCGCTGGTTTAGTTTAGAGTGTTTCCCTCAAAATGATGCTAGTCAAGCTGCTGAGAGATGTTGAGACTCAGTAGGTGGATCTGTTGAGGGCAAGAGTGCTCTTAAAAGTAGGTTTGGAGCTTCCACTTGCAAACGATTCGTCAGGAATTTTAATCAAGAACTCTTCTGAACCGGTTTGTGTGTGTAGTATGAAGTGTATACAAATCTGCTTACCTTCTTGGCAGTGGACGTTCTGCTGGCCGAATTGGAGTCTTTATTGGGAATGGATTTCCAGACGAGGCATCAGTTTTGGTTCAACAAAGTGCCGCTTCCCGGAAGTGCAAAAACAAGTGGCCTGGCCAAGCGGAGGAGGAACACTTTCTTCAGCTAAGGTTCCTATTGGCCAGGCGGCCACTTCGAGCAGGTCACAGGCAATGCTAGAGAGTCAGGTGTATATCCGATAGTCCATGCGATCCATGCACTGCTTCATACTGCTTCTGAGAGAAGTTTGAGTCTTAGGCAGAAGGCGGCAGCGGGTCGTAGGATCTATATAGCTGTGATTTCTTGGGAACGGCAGGCGGCCATGGACACAGCACAACCGCACGACCATCAGGAAAAAGAGGTCAACAAAACTTAGGAGTGTGATCTTTGATGATCTTTGATGTGCTGTATATGTCATGCATGGTATATGTCATAGGAGTGTATGGTATATGTCGGCAGAGTTACTGAAGATTGACGCCTATATGGCATACGTGTGGGGAAGGTTTCGACAGGTGGCTCCTGTCGATTGATGCCAGCTCGGCTCAGAAGGGATGACCATGCTAGAGGATGCCAGATAGTTAACGAGCCGAGCAAGCCACGATCGCCATGAACGAAGTGGATGCCTCGGTGGTGCGAACTCGTATTGAGACAGAAAGAGAGAAAGAGAGCGTGAGTCAGCCTAGATGCGAAAGGTCGAAAGCCCCTAAAGAGATATAACCAGAAAGAAAGGGAAAGAAACACAGGTGTCATGAAAAGGTCTAAAGGCCATGACAGGCCGACGTCGAACGAAGTCTACGGTCGACGCAGACCGTTTCTCACCTGGAAGGATCCAAATTGGGTGATGGTGGGCTTCTGCCCGAAGAACAAGGCCGAAACGGTGGCTTTTGAAGACGAATAAGTAGATCATGATCATTGAAACGGGCTTTTGATGGCTCTACTCTACGCTATTCTACGCGGGTTTTTGGGGGTTGCAGAAGAAAATTCGACATCATGAACGGCAAGTAGAGACTCACGTCTCACGTGCCAGGATCCTGGCTTTGGGGAGTTTCAGGGGCAGGCGAGACCGAGAGGGAGAAAAGGAGAGAGACGGATGTACATGTAATAGACGTAATCAAAGCGCTCCTAGTAGCTATTAGTTACGTTCGTAGCGATGGCCTCCCACCTACTTGCGATGGCCTCCGCCTCATAGCGTCCTTACTCCTAGCTGCGTATGAAAATAGGAAAGGTCTGGAGAGTCGACACGACCGTGTCGAACGGTCCGGTGTCCTGCCCCATTCAGGTCCACAAAATCCTGCCCAATGGCTGTGCGTTCATCACATGTCAGGAGGTCAAGGCGCAGCGTTTTGTATGTTCCTTCAGGCCGTTAACAAGCGTTTTGTGCAACCTGCTTTTTGTATGTTCTTTCAGGACCTCTACGATCAAGATGCTTATGTTCATAGCACTGTTCGTCCCTGAAATGCTCAAAGCTCGGGTCATGGGTCATGATGTGGAACCTGAACCGACTGAGGTTGTAGAGCAATGCTCCTTGCAAGTGGGCGAAGAGCCCGAAGCTTAGGGTGGAGGCCATCGCTAGTAACGGGTGGTGGCCATCGCGTGGACCATGCCTTTTCGGACCTTTCGAAGCTGCGATTGGCCCACCCAGGATCTGCTTCAACGTGCACGTGAGCGGTGCAGGGCGACCCCAGGTCTCTGCCCCATGTCGATGCCTTGGTGGCGACCGGGCGACCGTGTCGGTGGCGACGTCGTGTGACGCGGGTGGTGCATCGAGGTTGGAAGCGAAGACAAGGCCTAAAGCGGCCCAGAGTTTGGCAGGTGCGGACTCCAAACAGAACGGGAACGTTTACCTTTTTGAACGGCTTCGACCTTCCAAAGAACGAAAAGAAAGAACAGGAACGCCATCAATATTTGTCGCAGCCGCTCTTAGTCCCCCCCGGCCACGTACGACGTCAGGCTGGTGCTTATGGTCACCAAGCAGGCCGATGAGCCCCGAGCGTGGGATAACCGCGGACGTCCGTGGTCGATGCGAACTCGTGATCGGTCAGGAGCCAATGGTGGAAAGAGCATCGCCAAAGGACAAAGTGGCCGGACGCCCGTCGGAACGCGGTTCACGCCGCCTGCGACGGAGTCTAGACGACCAGGTTCCTGGCAGCGTCCCATGGGCGAAGTGTGGAAGGCGAGAGGACATGTCGGGCTGGTGGCTAGGAGTGCCAATGTGGTGCGATTTGGGACATGTTCTTACCTTTTGATTCTAATTACGCGGTGTATTCGGAGCAAAGAACGCTACTAGGGGCTCCTGGCCTTACTGCTAGGGAGCAAGGACGCTACTAGGGGCTCCTGGCATCGCCACTAGGAGCAAAGGGCATTGCTATTATGCTTCTATTCCTTCTTCTTTGTTCCTTGAAACTTGTCCTTTTGGTGGTCCCTGGAGTCCTTAGACTCCAGCAGGTGCTTTCTCCGTCATAAGATCTCCTAAGCTGATCCACTCAAGACCAGCAGCAACAACAGCAACATACAGCAACAAACAAAGAGAACCAGATGACCCAACTTTGTACAATGATGACCAAGGTGTTTGTTTTGTCAGGGTCAGAAGCTCTCATGAGTTAGCATCAGCTCCGTGTCAGTCTCCCAGCGGGAAGCCATGGGAGAAGAGGAGGCCGCGGAAGAGGCGACCGCTCCGGGTGAATCCGTGGATTTTTCGGCACTGACCGCTGCGGGTGTCAGTCGTGAGGAGCTTTCGACGGTGGTGTCCGTGCTCTCCCGTTTGCACGAGGCGGAGCAGGCAGGACTCCTGGAGCCCAAGGAGAAGTGCTTGAGACCACTGCGGAAGATCTTGGCACGACACTTCCGCCACAGCTTTGGACATTTGCCGCAGCAGGATGAGCTCGATGACAAGGAGCGCAAGAAGTTTGAGAAGCAGCAGAAGAGAGAGAGGAAGCAACGACAACTCGATGCGGATAAACGTTGGAAGGAGAATGCTGAGCTTCGAGCATCAAGACTTGCAAAGCTTAACCAGCTGGAGGAAGCTGAAGGCGAGGGCCAGGGATGCTTGCGAATTCCCGATGGCCCAGCAGAAAGCGAAGGCCACGAAGGTTACAAAGCGAATTATGAGGATGCTGAGAGGGCTGAGAGCGAATATCATCGGCAACAAGCTTGTTACATTTGCAAAGTGCGCTTTTCTCAACGACATCACTTCTATTCGCACCTATGCCCGGCCTGTGCTTCTTTAAACTTTGAGAAGCGCCATCGCACTGAAGACATGACTGGTCGTGTTTGTTTTGTGACAGGTGCACGCGTGAAGATTGGTTTTCAAGTCGCCCTGAAGTTTCTTCGGATGGGAGCACGTGTGCTGATCACGAGCCGTTTCCCACACGACGCCCGGCGTCGCTACTTGGGAGAAGCCGATTCGGGTGCATGGGTCAGCCGACTCACGGTGATCGGCGCAGATTTTCGTTTCTTGGGAGGAGTGGAAGCGATGTGCCGAGAACTCTGCTTGCAGGAGACTTATTTAGATGTCATCGTCAACAATGCGGCCCAGACCATCCGTAGACCTGCAGCATACTATGCTCACTTGATGGAAGGTGAAGGTGCCCCCAAGCTCGCCATGGCCGACTCAACACAGCTGACTCCCCATGTTACAAATGTGATACACGCGACGGATTTTCCTCAACATGGTGATGCTTCTTCCAGTGCGGCCCTTTCTCAGTTGACAGTGTTGAGTGAGGACCGCATGAAAACCGAAGAGGTTGCCATGCCTTTTGGGCAACGCGATGTGCATGGGCAACAGATTGACTGCCGCAGCCGCAATAGTTGGTTGTTAAAGCTTGGTGAGGTTGAAACACCGGAGGCTGCCGAGGTCTTTTGCATCAATACGTTGGCACCTTTCATCATCAACAGCGCGTTGAGACCTTTGCTGGACAGGTCGCCACATCCAGACCGATACATTGTGAATGTCTCGGCGATGGAAGGGAAATTCTATAGATACAAACAGCCCACCCACCCACATACCAACATGGCCAAGGTCCGCATCCAAGCGCTTGAAAAATAAGGAATGTTTGAGAAGAAAACAGAACGCCACTAGGAACAAAGGACATCGCTACTAGGAGCAAGGACGCTACTAGTAGCATACTACTAGTAACAAGAGGCTACTAGTTAAGCGTCATGTTTTTTGGATTGCTTGGCTCCCTGGAGGCAGCTCTAAACATGATGACGCGCACATGTGCAGAGGACCTCGCCGTCAGCGGTATTTACATGAATAGTGTGGACACCGGTTGGATCAATGATGAGAATCCACTTTTTACTGCTCAACGTATCGCCGAAGATCATAACTTCCAGACGCCCATCGACGAGATCGACGCGGCCGCGCGCATCGTGGACCCCGTGTTGACTGGCCTCGAAGTGTTGAGAACGCAGCGAAAGCACGTGGATGGAGGCCAGTAGGGTGGAGGCCATAGCTCTTAGGTTGAAGGCCATCGCTGCTAGGGTGGAGGCCATTGCTACTAGGTTGGAGGCCATCGCTAGTAGGGTGGAGGCCATTGCTATTAGGGTGTCTACTAGGGTGGAGGCCATTGCTACTAGGGTGAAGGCCATCGCTACTAGGGTGGTTTGAGGCCACCGCTAGTAGGTCGGAGGCCATCGCTAGTAGTAGGGTGGAGGCCATCCCTTGTGCGGTGGAGGTCATGACCCTCTTCCCCGTGCAAAGCGTGGGGCCATGGCTGGAGGTGGTGATGGTGATTGTCCTCCTTATGGATGGTTTCTTAAAGATTACATGCAGACGGAGCTTAGCCGCAAAGAGCATCACAAAGTTGCATAAGTTATATCGTGCTCAGTGCTAAGTTCTATTGCAGTTATATTCTGTAGTTTGTTCCCGCTTGCCACAAGATTCTGGTGGAATCCCATACTAGAGGAGACCGGGGACACTATGGATGCAACATGACGGACACAGGAATGGCGAACCGGGCACAATGGTAGTATATAAAATGCCCCTGGTGGTTGCCTGCTGTAGAGGGCCCTTGCACCTGCGCCCCTGGTTCTATTATTAGCCCACAGGCTTTCTGGTAATTTACCTGAGAGATCTTGAGTCCTTTAGAGACCTATCCTCTAAGTGGGCAGCCCTGACGGTGTTTGACAAAGTTCTGCGATGTTTCTGAATTTGTGCCTTTCTGTTCACCCTTTTTGGCAGTGGGACCCTCACTGGTCATTCTATAGACAGAGCCTTTTTAAAAGTGGTGAACCCAATACTGTATGGGCGGCCTGCTGTTTTTTGTGCAATTTTTAGTGTGGAACGCCCATAATCCACTTACTGTAGCCCATTTTATAGTTTTGGATGTTTTTGGCTCAGTCTGGCATTCACTTTCTCAACATTTTATCAGGCCAAAAGTTTATAGATGTAAAACACAATGCCTGTGAAAGCATCAAACCCAACAATGAAGGGGGATCAAAAAGTCGTTCTCTTCTGCCCAAACAGTCCTTTTTGCGGCGCCGACTTCCAGGGCCGACTGCAGCAGTTTGAACGTCGTCCGAATGGGTCGCGTCATGGGTCGTAGCTGAGGAATGGTAAGCCCAGCTGCGCTGACAAGCTGAGCCCAATTTCGCGTGAGCCGAAAAGAGTTCAGCTAAAGCATTCCGATAGGCCACTGCAGGAAGGCTTCCCGACTTGCCACATGTGCTTGCTTTGATGACGAACAGTTCATGCCGAGAAAGAGGATGGAACCTGAAGCTTCTTTGTTACTACTAGTAAGGCACTTGTTACTACTAGCGAGGCACTTGTTCCTAGAAGCTTCTTGTTACTACTTGCTATCATTCTGCAGGCTCAACGTGTGGATGGCTGGAATGGTGCTGACCTCAAGCACCGTGTGACAATGCAACGCACACTTAGAACTTCTCTCCGCCTTCGCACTTGCCTACCCCTTGATAAGCCCTTATAAGACAGTCTTCAACTACAGGATCTTGGATTTGTCTTAGCTACCACTTACTGCCTGTGCTTTAGCTCCCAGGAAAAGGTAAGGGAGGCCCGAAACTCAGAACTCAGATCCGGCGGTCTAAGCTGGGGCATCGTTCGAAATACAGAAAAAGATAGAAACAACACCGACGACAAATACCCAATGGGCCTGGTCCAACAGAAACTCTCCCTATCAAGACGGTTTTGGCCCAGTGAAGCCTCGAATTGGAGCATGTGATGCATTGTGGCACATGATGAAATGGCGGCATGGCCAGCTGATCTCTTGTGCATGAGATGAAAGAACTCAAGCAGAGTGACAGCACAATTGACTGTTGAAGATCCACTTCAGGGCAGCTCGAGCAGCTCGAGCAGCTTCCAGAGGACTTAGGGCCGGCGAGTGCATTTTATATCGGCACGATCAAAATCGCCGATCACGCTCTGGACTCAGCTTCTTGAGGTGTCTTGGTCCAGAAACAGGTTTCCTTTGGTGATTTGGAGCTCGTTCACCCAGGCCAAAAACTTTAGCATGATCCAGTGTCCTGAGACTGGGCCACTTGCCGTGCAAGTCGTCTGAGTGGAGAAGCGCAAAGCTTTGCATGAGCATGCTCTTGGATATGTCTGGACTCTTTGGAGAACAGTTGCGGCTGGAAAGCTCTCAGGCTCTCTCAGGATGTTTATGTACACTGCTCAATAGCGAGCCCCCAGGCAGAAGCGCAGATAGAGATGGAACTCTTGTGTGTTTTCTTTTATCTCTTTGAAGGAAAGGTCTAAAGGTAAAGTTTCCCTCGAAATCTAGGAACCAAATCATTAGCGTGAGCTATCCTGCGTCCAGTTGCTAGAAGCTAACTAATTCGTCGCCCTTACTCAATAACTTAATAGAGTAGGCACCTACTTAGTTATGTAAGGGCGGACAAAAAGAGAACAAAAGGAACAGAAACGGCAGACACTCAGAGCTGCGCAGCTGCGAGGCCTTTGCCCTCGGAGACTTCGTTGCCTTCACATTCAACATGGGTGCTAAAGGACCGCAGGTGCAGAATGGACGTCAGACAAGTAGAACCAAGTCAGGGAGAAAGGTTCAAGGGCTCGGATGGAAGAAAGGTTCCCAGGGATGGAAGAGAGAAAGAACGAAAGGAAAGAAAGAAAGGACGCGAACGGAAGGAAGGGAAACTGTGTCGCTTTGGCTTTTTCTATTTTTCTTCGACGACTTACTTCATAACTTTTGCTTCTTCGCGAAGCGTAGGCGGAGAACATTTTCAAGCTAGTTGGCCAAGATCTCAAGAAGACACTCAAAAGCTGTTAGGGGCAAGGGCATCGCTGTAGCTCCTGGCATCGCTACTAGTAACAAGAAGCTACTATAGTAACACAGGGCATCACTACTAGTAGCTAGAAGCTTGTTAGGTTTACTCGCTTCGTTGGGAGTTTGCTGTGTCGTTTTGCCACGTCGACGTGAGGTTTCTTGCCTCCTGGAAAGCCACCGCACTTCCCGGAGAACCGAGGCACAGGGTTCACGGTTGCTTCACACCAGCCAGGCAAAGGCTGAGGCTGAACGCGAAAATATGGCTCCGAGCACGAGCACTCATGGCTCCGAGTAACCCTCGCAGGGAGCATTTCGAGAATTCTGCCGAATGGAAACGGTTTCATCCAGTGCTCCTGAGCTGCGAATTGAGACTTCTGACCTTTTTGAGGTCTAGTGCTCCACGAGGCATTTTGTGAAGATTGTGAGATTTGAAGGTCTATCGAACGAAAGAAGGCATGTATAATAAGTGTAAGAAATTATATTTTGAAGTCGTGGCTGTACCATCTCCGTGCTGTAGAATTAAGATCCGTTAAGATCGGCCATCACCTTTGCTATTAGAACCCCCCCAAAACAAAGGAAGGTCTTAATTCTGACACCAATGACACAGTTCTCATCTCAGGCCCAGAGATCTCGACTGCTTATGGCTGGACGCCTCAAAAAGGGTTTTGCGTCACAACACAACTTGCATCGTTGTTTGAGTCGTTGTTTCTTTGTCCATCGTTGTCCTATTGTTTTCCTTTTGAGCAACCACCGTAACACACGCCGAGGTCGGGATGTCGTGGGCCCAGTCGTGTGCTGTTCAGGTCTTTTAAACCACCGCCAAACAGGTGTCCACCAGTTGGAGTTGAGGCATACATCCATGGCACTGTGGTGCAGCAGTGTGGCCTGAATGTAGGGGATGCTTCCTCAGATTCCGACGAATCAACCACACAGTTCTGAATTCATCTTGCTTCTTGATTGGGGTGGTGGCCGCGGTTGAGGACGTGATTGCCTTTGAAATCCATGTGAACAAGGACGGCAATCCACAGGCCTCGGCTCCTTGCTGCAGCCTCAGGGGATGCCACTGGTGAGGCGAGCCTCAAGGTGGTTCCGACGCTGACCTGGAATCGATTCGAAAACCATCCCGTCTTTGTGAAATGCTGCCGACCTGGAACCTTTTTCTGCCTTTCTTTTGGCAAACTGGATGGATGACACAGATGGAGTGTCCCGGAGGTAAAAAGACATCAATCCGGAGGTAAAGCACTCGGTGCAGGCTTGATAAGGTGAAAGGCCTTTCAAAGAACGGTCTGAGAACCGAAGAAGACGGCTTTGAGCCTACCACGCATGATGGGCGGCCTACCACGCATGTGGGTTTTGGGTGGGCCGAAATATGCCACACGAAGACCAAATCCAGAGTGCCAACTAATTACTTTTGCAGAGAGTGTGCCCCTTTTGCCCCTGCCCTCGTGCTCACCCGTGCTTTGTCACAGCAATTGCTCCAGACCAAAGGTTGGCAGCAAGTGGGCTTTGCCGGTGGCCAGGCAGCTGGCCAGGCCAGTGGCCAGGCAGAGACCGTCCCAGCATCACTGTAACCTTGAAGAGAACATCATTGCAAGAATAAACGCTCTTAGGTGGGAGGCCATTTTTGAACGAAGAGCAGATTGCTTGTGCTTCGAGACCACTTTTGATAGGCTCCCAGCTGGGCTTTGCAAGCACAGCCGGCCGTCGCACCAACACCAGGGACAGGCGCGACGGCTGCCGAGACGCGGCCGAGATTCCTTAGACGCGCTCCGCGTCTCGCCGCGTTTGACGCCACGAGCGGAAGAGGAAAGAAAACGGAATGGTTTTAAAGGGGCCCCACAAGCCAGAGAAAGCAAAGAGCAAAGGCATTTTTCGTTGTTTTGCACCATTTTTCTGGTAGAATACGGAACTGGTTGCTGCAGTTTCCACTAAGGCTGCAAAAGGTTGAGAGAAAAACTGAAGCAGTGAATGTGTACAGTTTGCTTCAGAATAGTTCACTTCCAACTAGATATTCAGTTTTATTTTATCTCTACCTTTCTCTCTTTCTCTTGTTAGGATGGTGCGAAGTTAGAGAGGAGAGAAAAGTCAAGCAAGCAAAACGAGCAAGTAAGGGGAGAAACAAGCAAGCACAAGAGCAGAGAACAGTCATGACCAGAAAGTGCCAACAAGCAGCTTAAACGAGTTCAGACAAGTGGAGAGGTGAATGAATCAATGAAGTGGAAAGTGCAAATAGTGCTGCGCCTCCAGAATTTCAAATAGAGTTTTATTAGACATCCAACTGGATTTGTTGGCAATGAATAGATCTTTTTTGGTCAGAAGTTGGGACTTAGGATTAATTAACTGAGTTTCATAGTTGGAATGCGAAATTGAATAGGATCAAGTTGCAAGTTCTGTAGAATGACCAGAGAAGGAAACAGTGAAAACACAGCTGGACACATTCACCTCGAGCAATCCGGTCTCTTGCTCCGCTCCGTACGCTCGTTCTCACGTTTCAGTGCCGCCTGAGCGGCCCAAAGGGCTGAAGGGTCCAAGAGAACTCATCCAAGCACTGCATTGATGTTGCTACATGGGTTGGACGCAATGTTTGCCAGGGATGATGCCAATTGGAGGGCTCCCAAAGCTCACTCTTTCGAAGGGTGGAACTGTGTCAGGAGCTCAGCCAACAGCGCAAGTTGGCGCAAGTAGCCTAGAAGTGTGGGGAGATCAGCATGTTTTTCATGCAGCGCATGGGACGCGAACCGAACGTAGCACCTAGCGCTTCATGTTCAGCCCGGATTCGCTCATGTGGCGCTCCAAGGCGAGCGGGCCCTCCTGGCCAAGCGAGCCAAGTCCTGAGAGATTTCCATGGACAATGCCACACCGGGTTCATCACCAGAAAGCGTGGTTTTCCTGCTTCGATTTGTTGACGAAATCCCAATCACATTGATCTTCCATGTCTCACTGCAAAAGAACATGTCCAATACTAGCTTGGAGCCCACTAGTAGGTCGGAGGCGCTTCTAGGCCCTAGGCCATTCACTCGTCGCCCGTCCGAGTCAGTCCGTGGCCGAAGGCGTGGCCCCCGGCCCCAAAGGCGGAGGGGGAGGCTGCGGCAAAGGCGAGGGCGGAGAGCAGAGCGCCGCGCCGCGCCGCGTGAAGCGGCGTCCACGGTGTTTTTTTTTTGTCTTTCAAGCAAAGCAACGCGCCGTTTTGCTTGAAGGTGGGAAGGGAGCTGCAAAGGGGAGTGGAAAGAAAGGAAGTGGCAAGAATTCCATGCCTGCTGCTTGGTGGGAGCCTCATCAAGTGACAAACTGGTCATGTTCTGCGCAGCATGGCACCAAGGCAGACCCCTGGCCAAATTCGTTCCGGCCCTAAGCGAAGTGTTCCTCAGTTGGATCGATGTGGCATGGCTGAAGGTGGCGGAGATAGTTGGAAGGCCAAGGCTCGCAAGGGCAAGCCGGATCAAGCCGGGCAAGCGTCAAGCAAAAAAGCCTAGCTATCGTTAGGAAAGCAAAACCGACTAGCTAGCCGCAATGGAGGGAAGTGAGGGAGGCGGAAAATGCGGAAGAACAGCAGAGCTGCCCTTCTGTGCGAGCAGTTGGCGGATAGGGCCTAGGGTCGAAAGAAGGAAAGACGGAAGTATGACAGGCATCTCTCAACAAGATAGACGAGATTGAAATCGACTGGGTGCCGGACACCTAATCGGCACTCAGCGACTGCAACGCTTGTGGAACCATGTTGGAGGCCATCGCTAGTAGGTTGGAGGCCATCGCTTGTAGAAGAGTGCAATGCAAGACAGAGTGTTTTGGGGCACCGTTCCACCAGCAGTGTGACGTGCGGCCCTGCATCAGTCTGCAGAGGCCCGACGACTTCCATGTCGGTCGCGTTTCTCTGGTAGATCTGGAGAAAAATGCTTTGATCTCAGCGAGTCTCAGCGAATTCGTTTGATCAACAGGGTGTCGGCTTGTAGCAGCTTGCTTCAACACTAGACACCTGGTCTCGGTATTGTCGGGTGTTGGTTGAGGTTTCTATGGTGAGATGTCCAGTTTCAAATTTGCCACGAGACGCTTTGCCCTCAGTGCTTTTTGGCCAACAGATGACGTGATTGTTTTGCCTTCTCGCGAAGGTCTATGTGCATCAATCTGTGGCAGAGCCAAGCTCACCTCCCAGCACTCTTGGAATGAGCATGACGGTTGAGTGCCAAGCCGTTCAGGTGCATTGGCTCTGAACGATGTCGCATGCTTCAAGATCCACATGAACCGCAACGGCTTGCCGCAGAGCCGCAGGAAATTCGTTCGACTCAGAACGACGAACAGAACCGACAGGAAAGAAAGCCTTTTGGCCCTCATAGCGCCATTTGTCCACCAAGGCCGCAGGCTTCAGCCCCGCTTTGGAAGCGTGTGGGTGTGGATGTCAGCGACAGCAATGTCCGCTTCGGCGAATTTCAAGGTTTAGTGATGAGGCGAGAGAGAGGAGTGGAACGGAGTGGAATGGAGGAAAGAAATTGGAAGAGAAGTAACTCAGTTTGGTTTGGCTCCTGTGGTGGGAAAGGGAAAGGCAGAGTCGGTCTTTCTGTGGCACTTGAGTCGGCCATTCAGTCATTCAGCTATATCACATCTATATCACATGTTTAAAGCTTTCTTATTCGGCATTGCGGCATTGCAAAGTGAAATCCTTGGAACGCATAGTGCAAGTGCCACAAGAAGGGGGGGATCGGTGGAGGGCATGGCATTCTTCGTGTTTCAGCAAAGGTCGTTCGTTGTCGTTGTCAGAAAGTGCTTGATCATAGGTGTTTCTTTGTGACACGATGCAACCGGATCCAAATACATTAAGTCATAGGTGTTTCGCACACCTTTAGATTACGGGAATGTTGCTGTGCGTGATGTGCTGACACAGGCCCTCGGAAGATGGCCCCTTCTCTGTGGATTGTTCAGACGTGACACTGCTGCACGGCCGAGATGCGACGATGACAGAGGAGTCGCTTCAATCAGCCTTCCGTTTCAATAGAGATGGCAATGGCTTCCAACCTACTAGCGAATGCCTCCAACCTAATAGAAATTGCCTCCAAGCTACTAGCGATGGCCTCCAACCTAGTGGCGATGGGGTTGGAGACCTTCCGTTTCGACATTTCATCCCTGTTCTTTTCCACTCAGCGTTTCATTTCCTTTCGTGCACGTTGGCACTTGACTTGTGCATTTGCTTTGCTAGATTTTGATTTCCCGTATCTTGCAACGGCTGTTGCCATGAAAGGAGACAGTCAACTTGTCCGGGTTGGTCGAAGGCAACCTGATTTGCTTTGATGTGTCAACGGCTCAGCTTGCCTTTGTTTGCAGCATGCAGAACAGACATATTCTTTTCCAGCCGCCTGGAAAAAGGAATCTAGATCAAACAGGAAGAGGATCAACAAACATCCATTGGTCCCCTGGTCCTTTTTCTGGTCCCCCAGCCTGCTAATCCATTGCTTTGGCGCGACCTCAGACACAAAAGCTACCTGGTGTCCGAACGGATGCCTAACGGAAGCCGAACGGATGCTAATATCACTTTCTGGGTGATTGATGGGGCAATGGGGCTTTGGATGATGATCGACTTGGTTTGCTTCGCTTTTGATGTTTGCTTCGGGGGATTGGAGCCGCGGCGCGCGCACCCGCTGCACTGCGCCGAACTTGATGGGTGTTTTCAAGGTCACCCATTGCATCTCACAATATGGCATGAACTCGCCTGAGTCGGTAACATGTTGGGCCGGGGTTAGCCCCGACAGATATCCGAGCCGTGGACTGGTCGAAACGGGGTTTTTGGGGGTGGGGGGGGTGGGGTTAGTTTCGTCCGTGTTACTACTCGTGTACATCAACTTGACATTGTTTGTTTGATCCCTCACCCGGCGTCAGCTTTCCCACTACAGTACTGTTTGTGCCAGGAGTGCCAGGAGTGCTCAGTTCTGACGGGGTGAAACGCACCGCTGAGGTCTGTGAATCAAAATGGTGACCCGGAGGCAGGACAACATAGTGGCATAGTAGATGAAACTCTGAATGAAGCCTTCTGGTGACATGAACCAATATCAAAGCATTAGCAAGTTGAGCATGTTACTAAGCCAAGGTCTTACCTCCATGTTGGATTTGCTGCTCATCTGAGAGATGGGTGGTGTCCTCAGTTGCGCTCAAGAGGAAATATACAGCGGCACTAAAGCCTGCACTCGTGGCCGTCACACACGGCCAAGCCTCACTGCTATGGTTCAACCACACCGACCCACAGTGCAACGGGAAGAATAGCTGTTGGACATTGTGCCTGCAGAAAACACCACAGAACATGTCCCGTTGCGCTCCCCAGGTCCTGCATGGCGTTCCAGATTGGGATATGGCCCAAAAAACACCAAGAACGAATCCAAACACCTTGATGGCCAAACGTTCGGATTCATTCCTGTACCCCTTTTTGGGGCAGCATCTTTCAGCACGGTTCAGCACCCTACGTGAAGTAACTACACAACTGTTGGAGTCCTATTTCATAGAATCGGCTCAAGCAAATGAGCCAACCATAGCCAATCAGTCTTCTTCGATAGAAGGTCTGACTCGAGAGGTCGTTTGGAAGACAATAAGTACTTTACCGATGGAATTGCGCTAAGAATTCTGAGATACACATAGAGAGCAAAACCCAAAGATCGTTGGTCCTTCCATTTGCCCACCATCCAGCTTGAGGTCCGAGACCTTGTTGGCAGAGACCCGATGGAGGACCGGCTTGGCTTTTTCAGAGTCCGTCTGCCACAGAGGCAGACAGCCGCAGAAGGTCCTCGCACATCAGGTGCAGCAAACTTGTGAGGATGCATTGCTGCTAGAAGGTGCAGACGATGCGACACAAGAGCTTGCTGACGATGCCAGAAACCTCAGTTTAAGGCACCAGAAGAGATGAGAAGTCTGGCCAGTTTGGAGCTTCACCAGCCGAGAGAACACTTTTTCCTGCAGCTGTTTCGGCACAGAGGGATAGGCCTTCCACGAGAGCGATGTTTGGCTTCATTTTGTGTCCTGGCTTGACCTAGTGTGGTTCAGACATAGCAGATCCATCGCTAGTGGGTGGGATCGCTAGCCGCTAGTAAATGAGAAGGCCAGTTTGGTGAAGAAGTGGCAGATTCCGCTGTTAGGTCTCCCATTGAATTCGTCCTGGTCACGGCCTATGCGCCTTTGGTGAGCTTGAAGGCTTTGGAGTCCAAGAGCCTCAATGATGACACCAACATGCGCCTTGATCTTGTCGTTTAGCAGGCCGTGTCGCTCCAATAGGACTAGAGGTCGTGACGGTCGTTGGTGGAGAATTGCAGGGCAGAGATGGGGCAACGTGAAGGATCAAGAGGGTCATTCATTTTGGGGATGGTGCACCCTGTGCACCACGGCTCAGTTGTGCAAGAATGAGATGAGATGCCATGCTTCACAGTGTCGCCATAGCAATCAAATGCAATCAACACCTGTTTTTTCTTCCGTTTTCCCAGCCGGTGGTGTTTTGGTCCTTTTTCCCGCTCTGGGAGCCAAGGCTGGCCTTTTGGGTTACGTGGCTGGCCTATTTCGACGTGAGACAGTGGGGAAGGAGGGTGGAAGAATTTTCATGACTCTGAAATGACTTCACCAAGGTGGACCATTTTGTCAGCGGTTGAGAACATCACTTGGGGCGCCATTTGGATTTTCCCCTTCTACACCGAGTTGAGGTTTGGCCTCCTCGCCGGAAAACCAAGACACACGGTCTCACTGTCGATATACCTTCCATCGAAAACAACGTCGACCTTACGTTTCGAACACCATAGACTATGCCATAGATGTGTAGAAAGATGTATATAGAACGCTTCCTTGGAAGGAGTGTCAAGACAGCCTGAGGTGTATATGCTCTTTTTCGAAGGTGGCAAGACTGCGTCTCGGATGCAAGACACACAAGAGTCATAATGGAGCTGGTCGTTTGCATGCAGTTGGATGTGCACAATCTTGGAAGGTCTACCGTTTGGCCATTGATCCCGCATATCAGAAGGCTGGATTCAGCCCGAGATCAAAGCATTTTGCTGCGATTTTTCTGGTTAGGCAAAGAAGAAGATCCCTGCCGAACTCATGGAGCAGCTGCAAACGGCCCGGGCACATCGGCACTCATTTTGCTCGCTTCGCTTGTCGCACCCACGCGCCCGCCGGCGCCGGTCGTGCCTGCCACCGCAGGATCCGAAAGCTTTCCTCATGACGATGGTGGAGAAAGGCGCCTGTCCTCCTCGGGTGGATCCAAGCGGCCTGTCCTGTCCTTCCTCAGCGCCATGTTTACAACATATATACATGTCTCGGCAGAACTGCACATGGCGTCAGAGGAAAAGCCGGGTGTGCTTTGCGAAGAAAGGAGTATGTTTTAAGCGTGTTATTTCGTGGAGAGGACCCATCGTCAGAAATTAGGCAGGTTTTACTGTGAGAAGAGGCCAAACTTTGCGTCAGAGAAAGGAGGACAGGCATGGAATAAGACTAAGAGAGAGGCTCCGGTAAGAAGACAGGTTGATTGCGAGAAGGTAGGCAGGATCGTGCTCTCTCCTAAGAGGAAGGCCTGAATATATCAAGGCCCCTTTGCAAGAAGACAGCGTGCGAAGAGGAGTAAGAATGCGACAGGTTGCCTGGAAGAAGGGTTTGCGAAGGTGTGAATCCCAATTTTTGGTTGCGTGCGCCTGCGTCTGCCAAAAAGACGCAAGACACGACATGCCGGTAGACATTCCAAGGCACAACCGGCAAACCCGGTGTGCTTTGGTCTACGCACATTCAAAAAAAACCATGACGAATTGAACACGAGAAGAAATGGCCTTCAACAACTAGCGGTGGCCTCTGCAGCCTACTAGCGATGGCCTCCACCCGAATGAACACGAGAAGTTTCATTGGAGTTTGGCAAACACAAAAAGATGGACGCACGGCTTTTCACTCTTCAGAGCAGAGCTGTGGCCTCCTGCCTCCGTTCAGGAAAGGAGCAGGTTCAGCAGCTCATGGCCAAGCAAGGAGAAGCACCCAAAGCCGACAAGAGCGAGAAGAAGAAGAAACAGGAGCGGAGTGTCGTCCGTGTCAGACCGTGATGGACTGTCAGAGCACAACAGATTTTACGGTTTCCATGGACCTTACTAGTAGTAACAAGAAGCTATTAATTTAAATATATATTAGTTTTGTTTTAATTCTAATAGCTTTTTTGTTACTACTAGTAAGGCACTTGTTACTACTAGCGTGGCACTTGTTACTACTAGCTTCCTCCCCCCCCCGCGGGACTCATGTCATCCTCGTCTCGAGGCGAAATAAAGAAGGCGCTTGACTCGGGGTTTACGCCGGCAGCATGCATTCCGTCGTGTCTTCTTTCGAGCGAGTTTGAGCCAAGGAAGCCAGAAAAGCCGAATGACTCGCTTTTGACGGTGCAATTGGCACCTCCATCGTTTGGTTTGCCCAGACCTGAAGCTGAAGCTTGTGACTCCCACAAAGAGACAACTCATGGGCAACAAATCTGCGGCAAACGTAGGCTGCAAAAACAGCGCAGCGCGCACAGGCGACGTGGAAAATGGACGTTTCCCTCCCTTGCGTGCGAAGAACAACATTTTGTGCAAAGTTTGACTAGCAGCGATGGCCTCCCACCGCAGTAGCGGTGGCGTCCTACCAATTTTTCTGGAAGAGATTGGTCACAAAGACAGATTGAGACCTTGACAAAAGTGTCAGCTTGTCGAGTTTGCGAGGTCTGAGATTTCGAAGAAGCGCTTCGAGTGGCGCACTTGGACCGTAGAGATGTGCTTGTGACACCATCTTTCACATGTTCTCTGGGATATCAATTTGAGTCAGCTGATGCCCAAATGGCTCACAGCTTTTGAAAGGTGTCCAGAGCAAACACATGAAATAGCTCACCTTGGAGCCACTCTCTAAGAGGAAATCAAGCAGGTTCTTGTGGTCAATTCTGTCTCTTTCGGCATGGCTGGGCAGCATGACCGAGCTGGACGCTGGCAGCTGAGTTGGACCATGTCAAGCTGCAGCATGTTGTATACCGTTGTTCTGTACACTACTAGCGATGGCCTCCACCCTAGGGTGGAGGCCATAGCAAGTAGGTTGGAGGCCATAATTCTTAATAGGTCGGAGGCCATCGCTACTAGTAGCGATGGCCTCCCACCCACCAGCGATGGCCTCCCCCATGGAATGCTGATATTGTGTATCGTTCTTTATGTGTTCTGTGTTTGTTGCAAGGTTGCCCACTTTCTCAGACTCTTGGAACTCCTCCGCTGCCCCGACAACAGTACAAGATCCGACGCTGAAAAGAGGCCTGACAGCGAATGCATTCTCTCAGATTGCCCTTTAATAAATGACGTTGAACGATTTTGGAAGGGGCAATCATAGGGCCAAGGGTAGTCCTGTAGTAGCGGTCGGTTTCTTACACTGTTACACCTTTGTTTTGGATGTGTTGTCGTATTTGGCTTCTCATATGTTGCCGTGGCCTTGACAGCACCTTCCATTTTTCCTGCAAGGTATGTTGCCGCATGCCAAACAGATCCAGCTCATGTTTTTGCACCCTTGCTGCAATTCAGAGACAAGTGAGACTAGTAGGTTGGAGGCCATCGCTAGTAGGTTGGAGGCCAACACAAGTGAGACTAGTGTGACCTTTGGCATCTTTGGCGACTTAGTGACAAGAGACAGTGGCAGCGGCACTGAGGCATGTTTGGCGCATTGCTTGGCTCACCATGATGACGTGATCAGGATTCAGGCATCCATCCGGATGGGTGTGACAAAGCGAGACGGAATGGCACCAGATCGGCGGTGAACACCTTCACATGTGCAACAAACCAACGAACGGCGCGCCGCCGCGCCACAAACGGGTCCAGCGAGGCTGCCACGTTGCTGCGCCGGGCTGCGACGGTTGCCACGGGACCTGAAGATCCATGGCCAAAGGCGAGTGAGAGGACTCCACTTCATGTTGGACAACGGCATGACTACTAGGGGCTCATGGCATCGCTACTAGGAGCGATCGGACGCTACTAGGGGCTCCTGGCCGTACTACTAGGAACAAGAAGCTGGAACGAAAATATACAGCTCAGCAGAACTCCGATATCTTTTTGGGAACCATTGCTATTAGGTTGAGGCCATTGCTTCTAGGTTGGAGGCCTCAGTGAGGCACGTACTTCTCAACCACCGTTGCGGAAAAGGCGGTTCACGTGCATGCGGCCATCCGTATCAACCTCATCAAGGTGCCAGCCAGACATGAGCAGACAGTGGCCATCGGCCGTGAATGATAGCACGAAAATAGCGATGCACTTGTTACTAGTAGCTTCTTGTCACTATAGTAGTAAGGATGCTTCTAGTAAGCGATGCCAGGAGCCCCTAGTAGCGTCCGATCGCTCCTAGTAGTAAGGCCAGGAGCCCCGTTCGTAGCTTCTTGTTCCTAGTAGCGATGGCCAAGCAGCGGCCAGAAGTCTCGAGAGCGCTGCCATTCCCACGAAGGCCATAGCACGGGAAAGTTGTTCACCGGTGAGACGTACCTTGGTGGCTGCCATTGCCGTCATCTCTGAGGCGAGCTTCGAACATGTTCAACGGAATGGCCTTTATTCTGTCAAGAGCATGAAACAAAGCTACCACGTTCTATCCTGGGCTCCCTAATAGGAATGGCCTCCAACCTACTAGCGATGGCCTTCAACCTTCTGTGAATGCTTGAAGCGGATCATTCATGAGCTCTTTGAAATCCTTTTACTGCAAGTTGTCTCCAACTGAGGCTGGGCCATGGCCAGAGTTGGTTCCCATGGTGTTCGATCTTGCGAATGAAAACGTTGAGGCTTGGACATGTGACATTGATTTTTGCTACTAGGAGCGATCGGACGCTACTAGGGGCTCCTGGCCCTACTACTACCTTGCTGGTTCGTTTCGCTGTTGCTACTGCTGCAACGATGGGCTACTGCTACTTTTGCTGTTCCCGCTGTCACTACCTTCCTGCGAAGAACGGCTTTTTTGAGGTCTTGGAGGTCTGATCTGCCTTGCAAAATGTCATGAACAAGAAGGGCATTACTATCAAGTAAGAAGAAGCTACTAGTAGCAAAGGGCAACCTAATAGCAGTACTACTAAGCTACTAGCAAGTTGTGTCTTGCAAAATGTCAAGCACGCGACTCGTCGATCGAGGCTGCCATTTGTCTTTTGGGCGAGCTGGTGGGCCGCCACGTCGAGGAGAGATGTTCCCACTTCTTCACCAGTGGAGTGCAGACTGCAGTGGCACTCCGTTCGGTTCGCGCCCAATCGCTCCGTTCGTAGTGCCAGGAGCCCCTATAGTAGTTTCTCACTTGATTTGATCATGACTTATTGTGATTTGTGTCGTGCTTTTTGACACTTGTGCGGCTAGGAGATCATGTCTCACAGTCAGACGATGAGCATCATCCACCAGGGTTTGACCTCCAAAACACTCGCGGCAAGCGCCATTGTGTTGGTCTCCCAGATAGTGGGAGCTCATCAGGGTGAGCTGAAGTGGAAGACTGGAGTGGCGAGTGCTCTACAGCAAGTCCTTCCACAATTGGAAGGTGCATTGGCCCTGCTCACGGAAGAGCAATCACCAAACCTCCCTGAAGCCTTACAAGCGTTGATTATGCTGGCAGAACATCAGCCCAGCTTCTTCAAATCAAGATACCAGATATGGATTGAAATCATGCTGAAGCTCGCTCTATCTCCGGTTCATCCTTCTGTGCGAATGCTCTCCTTTGAATGGGTGGCCAGCCTCGTAGCCTCCGCCAAGGGATTGGTGAAGGCAGTGCCTGATTTACCTTCCAAAGCTCTGACAGTTGCATTTCTTTTTCTCAGTGAACTTGAGGAAGATGAAGAAGCGGAACGGCTTTGCAAAGAAGGCGAGGCCAAAGTGGACTTCTTGGTGAAGAACTTCACGTTCAACGTGGCCAAGAGCCCGTTGGCCTCCTTGACGCTTCGCTACGCCAGAAGTCCTTCATGGAAGGAACGGACGGCAGCTGCTCTGGCCATTCGAGCAGCCGGGGAATATGCGGATGAGATTTCGGCTGATCAGATGACCGAAGCGCTTCTGCAATTGACCACCGATCCGCACTGCCGTGTTGGCTCTGCAGCCTTTTTCGCTTTGGGACAGTTGTGTCATGATCGGGGTTCCAACTTCAACCAAGAATGGTGTGAGAAGTTCATGCCCGCCTTTGCCCGAGGTTGTCAGGAGAAAGAGGTTCTCATAGCAAGGAAGGCCATCGGAGCACTGGAAAGTCATCTTCACCAATGCTCATCGCATGAGATCAGTCGATTTTCCAGCATGCTCGTCAACGTCCTGGTGCTGAAACTGCAGTCCTCTGACACGAACATCGTCGTCGCAGCCTTGGAGGCTCTTGGTGCTTTGGCCATCGCAGTGGATGATGGCTTTGATGATTGCTACGATTCTTTGGCCCCATTGCTGTTGAGGGCACTTGAATCTACATCGAAGGACCATATCCACTCCACCATTCGTGAGAAGGCGTTTGAATGTATCTCCTTGATGGGTTTCGCAGTGACCAAAGAGAAGTTTGCACCCCTCGCTGCAGCTGCATTGAAGTCGCTTGCACCAAAACGTGAATCAGATGTTATAGATGCAAGCATTGACGTGTGTGAATTATCAGATTGCTCCCGGGATTCGATCCAACGCATGTGCAAAGTCCTGGGCGTTGACTTCGGACATTTTCTTCCGCTTTTGGTGCCCAGCATTTTGGGCAGCCTGGACCAACTTGAAGCATTCACCACTGACATTCAAGGGGCTGAAGATGATTTGGTTGTACAACTGGATACTTCCACTTTTCGAGTGAGGACCGGGCAGCTAACAGAAGCTGTTGCACTGATAAAGCTTCTAGAAGTGCTAATGAAACACACTGCTGAGTGCTTCTTGCAGTTTGTCTTGCCCACCAGTCGGGTTTTAGTCAAGCTTCTGAGTCAAAGTCCATCGGTCTTCACCTCGGAGCTCCGTGAGGGCATTTATCCCACTTGGGCTGAGTTGGTGAGTTTGAAGGGTTTGGATTTGGAGACCAAACGCATTTTGGTGCAAAGCTTCGTGGAGAAACTGGCCTTGGATATCATGAACAGTGAGGAAGCAGACGATATTGCTTCCATGGCCAGAGCTCTTGCCTTGATCATCGATCGGGCGAGGCACGAAGACGGAACGCTCCCTGGTGCGACTGCGCAGGTGACGGCGCAGCAGGTGACGGATCTCTGTGGACTTGCCGTCAGCGAAATCGCGAAATCCTTTCAGCGAGAAGGGGCGGGGCCAGTGGAGGGTGAGACTTCGAAGAGGGAAACATCGTGGAGTGGATCGGACGAGGAGGAAGAAGGCGATGACGAAGATGAGAACGAGGAGCACCAGTGCCGCACAGGGCTTTTGTCAATCATCACCTCCTGCATGAAGGCAGACCCGCAGGCCTTCCTCTCATCAGCTTGGCCAAGTTTGCTAAGCTTATTGCAGCAATGGTTTGGCAAACCACGAGGGGCTGGAGGAACCAAGTTGGCATTGCGTTTGGCTTGTGAGATATGTCACTTGGGTGAGGATGCTGCAAGTGCTTGGCCTACCTTCATGACGCAGGTGGTCGTAGTACCTTGGTTTTGTTTGGCCAATTCTCTCTGCACACGGCCACGGTTCGGCAGACATGTAGTCAAAAGGGGCTGCTTGGATACAATTGGCATGCATTAGGTCCAACGCAACCATGTGTGATGTACTTTTGTAATTTCATGCCCATCAGGGCTAGGACAGCCACATCATAAAGTGGCTAAATCATGGAGAATAGACACATATAGCTAGTTGAGAAGATGCAACGACGAATGCCGAGAGCAAAACAAAGGAATGCATTGATCAAGACTATGACTCGCTTGAACAAGAGGCAGCTATCGATGAGATAAGAGTGCACGGTCACAGGCCCCCACCCTCAAGGAAGAGCAATTGTGAATTCCCACAATTCCTGTCTACAAAGCCCAAGATCTGAATCTAAACGGGGTGGAATCAAGGGCGGAGGGGGGTTGAAACACGTTGCAACACTTGGAACCGTGTTGCAACCAAAAGTACCATCTAATAAGATCATAGAAGTCTTCGCTTGGAGAAGTTGCAAGCAGATAATGTTAATTCATGCAAAAGAACTTTACAAAAACAGTAGTATAAAACATTGAAAAAGAAAACATGGCAAGTAAAGAACAGAAAGACAAGACTAGCAAAGAAAAAAGGGTCATTCCGAGGCTTTGAAACTCCAAACATTGGCCAATCGGCCTTGTCCTCCAGGCCTTGTCCTCCGATCGCGAGGAGCGACGCTGGGCCGCGCGTGGCGTGGCCTGGGCCGCGCGCAGCGAGGCCTTTGCGCCCTGGGCGCTCCCAGCGGCCGAGCGGCTGCGGCCGCGGGAGCTCCGGAGCGACGGCGGGGGTGGAGGGCAGGGTCGGTCTAGGTCTAAAAAGAGAAAGAACGAAAGGTGGTTTGATATTGATTTTAGGATTTATATAAGTAATGTTTGCAGACATGAACTACAGATAACTACAGTAAGAAAGGAACAAGGTCCGAAAGGCTCTTCCAACAGAAAACGAACGGAGGGATCGAAATACGGCCAGGGACGAAGATGACGGACATACTGACATACCGAGACATACAGGTATCAGACAAGAGGAGAAAGCCATCACCAGGATTTCACAGACTTTAGAGTTGTGAGCTGTGACATGCTGTGGCGAGATTGCTGCAGGTGAGATTGCTGCACTGGTGCAGCTGTGCTTGAGTCACTCGAGTGCATTGGCCGACACTTGCAGCGACTGCTGGAGGAGTTGTTTTGCAGCACTTCCCTTGAAGGCTCGGCATTTTCATCATGATATGGATGGTTCTGGGCCTTGTGGGCCAAAGAGAAGCCAATACGGGAGAGCTGATGAGACGTGAGAGCAGAACTGCCAAACGTAAAGCGGAAGACAACACCGAACCACGCGAATGCCTCAGCACCCCTGTTAGGCAGATCTCGCTGAAAGCCGCAGGCCAGGCAAGACGTTTCAACATGAAGCTACAAACCATCTCACAAAAGAGAAACGGCGAAGACTTTCAGCCTCTGCTTTTTTCTATCGCTTGAAGCGGCTTCTCGGGCGCCTCTAGGCTGAACAACCAAATCTTCGCTCAGGCACGGAACTCTGAGAAGCCGTTTGAACTATTTTTGAACTCAGCTGTGTAGAATAAGAGCGATGGCCATGATGCATGATGGCCTCCAACCCATTTGTGGAGGTCGAATCTGGGGCGATTCAAGGGATTTCTGCAGCACGAGCCGTGGGCTACCTCTCTGAAGTTCTTGGACTGAGTCGCTATCGTGCTGTCGCTGTCGTGCTGTAGCTGTATGTCGCACCGAGTGCTGTGGGAGTCCAAATGGGCGCCTGAAGGTCTATGGCAACAAAGACGTGTGTGATCAGGACAGCGAGCATTTCCGCAAAAGCAGCTGTTTTTTTTGGTGTATTTTTTGTTCAAGACACTTTTCAGCCAGGATCTCCAAGCCAAGTTTCTGGCCTCACTGGCCAGCATGCCCTTGAAGACTTACAGCGAAGCTTCGGCATGTGTTTTCAGATGCAGTGTTTTGCCTGAGCAAACGCACAAACCACATGTGGTCACTAAAAAGTACACTGTGCCAACCAGTGCGATGATTGACTGGCACAGCAACAAGAGTAGGAGCGAGCGACTGGCAAAACCGGCAAGCTTAGTGAGGTCCGGTCTTTCGGCCGTTTGTTCTGGTCAGCTTCCTCTCCATTCTTTTCTTGTTCCACCCCTTCTAGTCACATCACTTCTTTTGCTTCCCGACTTTTAATGCAATGCTTTTATCTCTTTGGTGCAAGAGCTCACCAAATTTGGATACAACACTGGCAGAAGACTGGGAGCACTTCAAGGGCTCTGTGAAGATGCATGCGAGGCCTTTGACCCTGTAAATGCAAGCATATATAGCATGAACAGCATTAACCAAATCCAACAGAAGTTCAAACGATCTTTGAGAAGTCCGTGAACGTCAATCAACATTAGAAAGAATCTCCGCCAAAACATGCAAGCCCCAGCAAAGCTATGTGTCACACTATGAATAATTGTGTTGATGTGGCATGCTGTGGTACATGTGCAATTCCTCCAAAGCAGCTTGCTTGAAGCAGAATTCCGGGTGCCATGGCAGTGCCAAGTGCCATGAAAGCATGTTATTTTGGGGACTCAGAGCTCCGAGCTCTCAGCTTTCGCATGCCTTATGCTTTCCCTGTTCGCGACCGCTCAGGACCTGCTGTCCGTCCTCACCGTCAAGCAGCGGAAGAGACTCGAAGGCCTTTTGGGTCGCTGACCGTCCAGGTCTTCGATGCGCCGAGCGTTGGAGGCTGCGGTGTGCGCGGACCGAGGTGGAGCACGAGGAGCACCACATTGCGAGGTGAAGCATGGTGAAGCGTGAAGCACATGAAGACTGGATAGACATGATACGACCGGTTGGACAGTGATGGTGCCTGAGAAACAAGCAACATGGGAATGCAAGTGCCAAAACTGGCAAGGAGCACGGAGTACGCTGCGGTACGGGAAAAAACATGGTCATGCAGTCATGCCGTGGGAACTCACTGGTTAACGCATGTGCGTTCGAACATGCGTTCGACTGCATGTTCTTGCCGGAAAGGCTTCCAACGAAGCCTCAGATGGTTTTGCACTGAGGTATAGCAGCCCATTCCCATTCAGCTAGCCAAGGGGCCGAAGGGGCATGCTGCATCACCGCATCTGAAGAAACATCGGACCACCAGAAACCAATTGAATCCTTTGTTCATTGTTCTGTATGATTCAATTGTGCGCATGTGCCTAGAATTGTATATAGCCTCGTAGACGACACAAGCAGAAAAAAGGGACCTCTTGCTTCGTGAATGCATGAGGTGTCTCAAGTTTGGACGAAGAAAGCAAGAAGGCTTCAAAGAGCATGTCCAAGGTTAATTCAGTTGATGTCCTTCATAATCTAGAATCTAGTTGTTATACGTTATCTAGTTATGTCGATCCATTTCAGAAAGGTTCAAAGACGTTGAAATCAGGAAAGACTCGGAAGCCTTGGTGAATGAAGTGTTCAAAACCGTTGAGGGAGGATTTTGGGCGAAGATGGGTTCCAAGGCTTTCTTTGAAGGTCAACGAGTGGTAAGGATTCCATTTTTTGGAGGGATTAAGAAGGGCTCAAGGCCTTTCTGAGTGGTGGAGCTCCTGATGAAGAATGAGACTTTGGAGGAAAAGTAACATTCAAACACCTAACTATGCAAACAATGCTACTAGTAATGCAACTTGTAGTCGGTAGCCCGAGGTTTTTACGTTCGTTCTAAGAAAACAAAACACTCACCCCCGAAAACATTGAAGCAAAACTGTTGTTCTGTTACTCCAAAATGGGATCGCGAGCGGACATGTTCATCTAGAACAACTTGGCTACAGGCCCAAACTTGGGTTTGACACAGGCGGTTGGACAAAGGACTTTGGGCGTCGCGAACGGAAGTTCTGGGTTTTGTTTCAATAACCCTTCGGTTGGATGAAGCCGTTCTTCCAAACAAACACGATCTCCGAGCCGCAGGACAAACGTCAAGAGCCAATGGACTGTGGAGATGGACGGCGCAAAGGGAAGTTCATCTAGATGTTGGTTCCGTCTCTGAATCTAAGGTAACAAGGTCAGATCATGGACACACGATAACATCAGACGTAACACAAGATTTGAATGAGTCTAAAACCATCATGCCCGAACTGCTAAGACATAACAGAATCAGACCAAGAATCACGAAACCCTGAGGCATCAAGTTCATTAGACCTATCCTGAGACAGAACAAAGATGTCACGGATGCCACGGATCTATTGGACAACGGCTCGCACGCCACGAAACCACACGAAACCTGGAGACAGATCGAACGGACAAAAGGTTGGACGAAACATGAAATAACAGTAACACGACATGTTGAGAAACAACAAATATACATATGGCGCATCACCAACCCCAAGAAAAAACGCATCATGCCACAGAACTTCAAGACAAAGACCAAAGAATTCAGATCAGAATCATCATACCAGAAACAACAAAGCAAGAAGATGCGAAATACGAAGCCAGGTAGACAATCACTTACCATCAAACAAGGCCTTAGCCCTTTGACACAAACAAACAGTCCCGTTACGACAAACGCCGTGACATCGCAAGACAAAAACACCGCATAATGAAGCCAGAACGAAATTGAAGACCAGGAAACACAGCGCCATGACAGCCAAGACAAGATCATGATCACACCTGCGAACAATACTGCGAACAAGATCACGTGAAAACAACCAGCTGAAAAAAAGAAACACATCATGTTTGTGTATAGGCGTTTGAATGCTGCCTTTACTTCGTGTTTTGAACACAAGATGTGCAAGAAATGCACAACTAGTCAATCTCAACTGTCGGATTTTTGTGGTTTTCTTCGAGCACTTTTTCCGTATGTTTCCTTTGGTTTTCTTGGTAGTTGTAGGGTTAAATTGTTTGTTGTGTCTTTGCTTTGCAGGTTTCGAGTTGTTGTTTCTGCTTGCTGTGCCGTCTTAGGGAACACTAAAAACTAGAGAGTCAAGCACGCCAGAAAGCAAGCAATGTGTGTGTGTGTTTTTGGTGCGTGCTCTGTGCTATTTTCGTGCCAAGTTTCGGCTGTCGATTCGACAGCGTATGAAATTGCTACTTCTTCCGCAGTTTTTTAGAGCATTTTCAGACCAAAGAGTCACCTCAGAGCGCCGCCACATGCAGTACCGAGTCGACGCTACAGTGGGCTATCAGGAGCTGTGGGCGGTGCCAGGTCGTCAGCTGAGTGGGTTTGACCGGTTCGCTTTGCCTGGTTTGACCGGTGTTCTGTCCGCGCGCGGTTTGACCTGGAGTCCGAATGAACTTGCTCCGTTTTGTGCGATTTTTGGGTGTGCACGTTTTGGGGACCGACATTTCACTCATTTGCAGGACTCCAGCGATGTGACATCCTCAGTTGCATCTTTCGGCAACTGGCGACCGAGAGCATCACAGGTCCACTCGAAGCTGAACGCCTTAGGCTGCAGCCTCAAGGAAAACACAGTGCAAACCTAGCGATGGCCTCCAACCTCTTAAATTCTTCATCAGCATGGCAGCATCAACACATCATTGTTCTCCAAAACCGCTGTGCTTGGTCCTTTCAACAACTCTTTTGCAGTGAATGGAAGAGTGAGTGGTTTGACGTTTGACTGTTGCTTCTTCCTGGGAGTTCTTTCTGGCATTTTCTGGCATGTGGTATCCAGGTTGTTGCGTTCAATCATGTGTGTCCTTGGTCGTGAATCTTGACAAGAAACACCTTAGCATCCGAGGGGAATTGATGTGGCCTGCAGCCTTCTCCAGGAAGCGAACGTTGCACATGGCAGATGACACAACGAAAGTTGAGGAACCAGTGACAAGCGTAGCCCCAACTCCCTTGAATTCAACATGGCCCCACAAGCCACACGAGTGAAGTGAGACGGCAGAAGCGAGACACCGGATACGGGTGCTCAGCCAGCACACGTCAGACGGAAAGCCCTAGCTCGCCCCCTGAAGATGCCATGGAGGTCGAAATCCCAAGAGTGCAGTCCAGAGAGGCCAGAAAGAAGGGGGGAACTTCAAGGAACTTGTTGCCCATCCGTGTTTTTGGCGCAAATCGTGATCCATCCGCACCCTCCGGAAGTTTCTTCGCCACACCCAAATCGGCTGGGTGTGCCTGTTTTTTCCCGTTTGGAGGAGTCCACAAATGTCTCGGTAAATGCAATGGTGGAAGCATCACCAGAAGCAGTCTAAGGTACACATCCGAACAAAAATGACTACATGAATCTACATGGCAGCTCTTGTTATTTGGATTTATTTGGTACGTTAGTCTTGTTTTGTTGATTCACTCATTGAGGTTTGGTATGGGAGAAGGGGCACTCATGAAACAACAATGGGATAAAGGGGGTAGGACCTACCTTTTTTGTATTGATGTTCTTTGTACTTGCGGCGCTCACCTTCGACTGACCCAACTACTGATCCTCAACTAGCTGCAGTCAATGCCATTGTCATGTTGAATTCAACGTTCTTGGTGCACCAGGTTGCGCTGCCGGCAGCCTCGCCGACGGATTCTCGACTTAGTTCTGCCATCGAAGCGGCTTGGCGCACCATGTTTTGATGTGTGGAGCTTCATGAAGAACATCCCGGACGTTTTGGGTCGACTCATTTGCCATCGAAGCGGCCAAAAAACGCTTTTCTCACGTCACCGCTCTAGTCAGAAACATGTCCAAATTCCAGACGAAAACGGAGCGTGTATGAAAAGGGCCTTACTACTAGGAACAAGAAGCTACTAGGGGCTCCTGGCCATACTACTAGGAACAAGGAGACCGTCAGTGTAGACTTTCAGCCTGGTAGGTCTTTGGCTTCCAAGGCTGCCCGCTCCCCCCAGCCTACGAACAGCAGTCTTCTCTTGAGTCAACACATGCTGTTAGTCAGCTCATCCCCTATGACCATCCGATGTCCGCGTAAAGAAAGAAGGTGAAGCGTGCCTTGTACGGAGGTCTTGATGGACATCGTCCACACTGATATTGAACGGAATGGCAGTACTGAGCACAGTGAGATTGAAAGACTGGTGCGTTTCCATGAGACACACAAGAAGGAAGTAGCAAAGACACAGATAGATAAGAAGGGGCCAGAGAAGAAGAAAATAACACATAAGAACATTGGAAAACACCAAAAAAGAAGTCAAAACAGTGATTCGGTTGGTCTTGTGATGTCATGTGTGTTGTGATGTCCATTTGGATTGGCCGAGATGGCCGTTTTTTTGCTCCGAGGTGTTGAAGGCCTGCTGACGGGTGCTTCAAGTGCAAGGAGCGTTGGCTTGTGGTTCGTGCGGCGTCGACGTCGGCGTCGGCGTCGTCGAGCTCTGTGAGAGATTTTCACAGGAACCGCCCTCGATTTCGTGAAGTTCTTGGAGTTTGCATGGTCTCTAACTCAGAGTTTCCAACAGAGCGAAGCTGAAAGCTGCAGCGAGCAGAAGCATCAAACTCAGGTGTTGGTTACCTTTTGCGTGGGGGTGTGGTTCTAAGCCTTGCACAGTCCCGTTTTTCTTTTGCCTGTGTGAACTGGCAATCCAGATCTACTTCCTCTACTGGATGCGCAGGGTTTTAGTCTAAGCCTCGACTGCATCCCTGTTCTGACATGCTTTCGTCCTGACTGTGGACACAGGATTTCACAGGTCTTTGTGTTTCCAAGGTGCCTTTGACCTTTGCCCTGTTCCTGGCCTTCCTTTGTGAGCCCGTCTTGGCAATCCTTGTCAAGATCCCAAGGCAGAGATGAAACTGGCGACACCGTCGCAACGTCAATGACCAGCGTTGGACATGGCCTAGAGATTATTTGTTTTTGAGTCTAAGATGTCGCATTCGGAATGAACGGGTGCAGTATTCGTTGGTCGCTCAGAACGAGCGGCGTACGGCCGTCTACACCGTGTGATTTGACCCAAATGAATACCTTTACAGGTGGGCTGGTGGAGCTTTGCGTGCTGGATCCCAAAGGCTCCGCTGTAGAATTCTTTTTGATGTTTCTTAAATTGCAAGAACAATATTCCTTTGAGTTACTACTAGCAATGGCCTCCAACTCACAAAAAAGTGGAAAAGAGAGGCCTTCGCTTCCATGCGATTCGCATGGATGCGTTTCGCATGGCGCGTTTCGCGCCCGAAATCGGTTGTTTCTTTCTCAAAGTGGCTCCCACCAGCCAGAAAAGGCGTTGGAAGTGGGCGCACTTTTGCATACCCAGCTTGGCTCAGGTGCAGGCAACGGACCCAGCCAGGAACAAAAGTGGGACGAGCTGAGGAGGAGTGAAAGACAACAAACGAAAGAATCCAAAGGAAAAAGCAAACGAACGCAAAGAAGAAACAAGAGCTATTAGGTTGGAGGCCATCGCTAAGAAGAAGCTACTAGTGTTAGAAAAGAACTGTTGAATTTTGCGGGCAGATCTGAGCATTAAGTGACTGGCAAGGACCAAGGCCCTCAGGTAGGGGCTAGCTCCAGTTCCGACACTGACAGTATTGGCAGCGTCACTTGGTTTTGCATTGCTTTGAATTGTGATGTTGTTTATTTGGCTTGTTTTGTGCAGTCCGCTGTTTGAAGTCGCGTCTGGCTGTATTGTCTTTCATCGAAGAGTCTTTTGCTCAGGCCTTTGAAAGAACAGGCAGTGAGTGCGAGGGAGGTGCCGCAAGGACATGCTGCAACTTGGAGGAAGTCTATCTCGTACGTGGAAGGGCGTCCAAGACCCAAGGCCCTTTGAGCGACGAGAGGAATCAAGAAAGAAAAGACCTCAAGCAAAGGGGAAAATTAGAAAGAAAAAAGGACAACAAAAGAGCAACAATAAATGACAAGAACCGAAATATGACATGTAAGAAGACCCCAGGATAGCTCAAGAAAGGCAAAAGTCCAAGACCCAAGGGCAGCGAACATCGTCCCGCAGTCCAGTTGCAGAGTTCCATGTTTCTTGCTTTTGTTGCCTTTATGGTGTTGTTGTTGGCTTGTTGTTTTCTTTTCTATCTTTCTTTGGGCCTTTCAAAGCCTTTTTGATCTTTTTGTTCTTTAAATCCCTCAAGCCACTGGGACGCTGAAGTCTGGCGGAAATAGATTCTATGTCTCCCCACGTGTGCTCTCGGGCACGACTGGTGCGAAATGCATGTTGTGCCTTTTTGGGTCCTGCTTTCCTCCCAAAAGGACCACAACTTCGACGTAGTCTTCGTAGTCGAAATGAGCTACCGGTAGCTACCTGTAGCGGGCTGGAGTTCGTCCACGGATCTATAATCTATTTTTGGCGGCATTGCGTGGCGTTCTTTCCTTCGATGTTTGTCTATAGCGAGTCATGCCATGATACCATTGGGTTTGATGTCATATTTCAACAGCTCTCGGATCAGCAAGGGCCACACAACCAGGTTTCGCTTCTCGCGCACTGCGCGAGAGTGCACCGAGAATTTTGTCGCTCGAAGGCACCTCATGCGAGAAATGGCTGCTTCAGAAACTGAATCTGCATTTCGATGTTCCCTTTTGAAGAAATGACGTGAAATAGCTGCTGATGATTGATCTAAATGTCCAACATGAAACTCTGCATGCGCATGCTGAAGAGAGGGAGGGAGAGAGACTGGTCAAAAGTGTTGAAGTTGTTTAGAGTCATCAATGAAATCGGAGTGCCAAAATGGAATCGCTGCTTGCAGTCGTAAAGCCGAATGCCCAGGATTTGGAGTATTTTGGCTGTTTTGGTCGTGGTGCTCGCCTTTCTGGTGGGAGCGCTGTTTTTCGCTTCGTCGCTTCGCTTCTTCCGGTTCTCTCCCGCCGCAAGGCGCTCATTTTCTTCATTTTTTATGGCGTTGCAACCTGGCATGGCAAGCAGAACAGCCGTTTTTTGGGCAAGCAACACCATTTCTTACAGCATAAACACTGACTTCCGTGGTGTTGTATGTGTGTAAGTTTTGCATGGTCGAGAATAGAGGAGACAAACTTTCAGGTCCGTGTTTTTGCCGACTTTGATTGGAGCAGGGCACACAGGAAGTTTCATTGAATTAGTAGAGTAGTAGAGTCGAAATCATCAAGGTGTGTTATTTGCTCCCTGGACACGCACATTTCACTTGGCGCAAGCGAGGTCAATTCGAGGGCTCTGAGAAGCTACACGATATGAAGATGCTTGTTGCAAGATCAACTTTCGTAGAATATGCTCACGGAGAAGCATTCAAGGTTGAAAACGAACAGCGTTTGTAAAGCTCAGGATGTTGCTGAAGAACATGGGATTGGCAGCTGCTTCAGAATAGAAACTAGACACTCAATTCTCATGGCATCGGTTGAGCGGTCCGGCTAGGTCCCGCTAGGTCTGGATGATTCTTGCTTGTGCCGAGGTTGATGGCAAGCTCGATATTGACTTTGGGAGAGTCACAGCTGAATTCAAGAGCAGCTTGGCCGCAGGACTTCTTGGCAGCTTGCGTTTGCAACCCGAAGTCCTTGGCCGCAAGGAATAGGAATGCCATGGAATGGCCCAAGAATGGCCCAGTATTGTTG